CATTATAAAACAGTATGCAATAATAACGTATTGAGTGTAAATGATAATTGTAATTATTACATGGATGCCACCTTATTGGTACAATAAAGCCCTCCCTACACCTACCCTAACCCTACCCCATACTTTATTTTCAACTTTTTGATTATTTCCTTAATTTTTATTGAAAATAAATGCCTTTACGATGTGATACGAGATTAGAAAAGGCAGAAAAAAATGTTCGGCAAAAGGCGGGATCGAACCCGGGTCGATCACGTCAAAAAGCCAGTGTTGTGGCAAAATCACACTTATCCATCTGTGCCACTGGAGCTGATGATTTACAGCCACTTTTAACTAAATGTAAATAGACACTCTGTATTTTTTATTCCATAGTAAGGGCAATTCATACAACACATTTAAACTGAGCTACTTTAATACCATCGCCGAACTTTCTACCACGACTCTGCTGTTCTTCGGCTGGTTCTTCCCTAAGTTGATTGACAGATGTCTCGTCCAGTCAGCGGTGAGTACCTACCTCGTTAATTTGTTTTCGGATTTGTCATTGTGTTTTCTGACTTGTTATAATGCTTTCTGAATTGTTTTGTTTTTTAGACCTGCATTTGTAATTTGTTATTTTGTTTTCAGAATTGTGATTTGTTTTGCACTTCTCGACCACCGTAATTATCTAATATAAAATGAACCTAGCATAAAATAATACACAAATTGCAGAGTACACTGCATAAAGCCCAGCCTTCAAGCCTGTTACTTATGCTATTTTGAGGAAAAATGTCAACAAATATTTTATTTCATTTATAATTTTCCTGGAACAAGTCTAGCTTGCTTCTTCTGAGTAATGCCTTCCTTTAGAGTAGAGGGGAGATACAGGACAACTTAATTTTAAGATGAACATATTATTATTAAAAACTATTATTAAAAACTTATAAAATAACTTGAGTAAAAAATTACATGAAATGAACCCATATTTCTTTTATGTTCCCCCTCAAACAAGTACTGTTTGTTTCCCAGTTTCTGTTTATAAAAACATGATTATAGCAGAAATACTGGCAGAAATAACATATAGTCAAAAAAGTTGAGAAGCAAAGATTAAAAGTACATTTGCAATCTTATTTACATCCTTGCATCCCATTTTGGCATAATTATTTTTCTTTTTCTTATATTTATAAAAAAAATTTAGTTAGTGCATAGAAAATAAATAAAACAATATTTAGTGTGATCTTTAAACTTGACAGTCAACATTTTGTGAAAGTAAAAGCCCTCCTTTCCCTAAACTTTATTTTTTATATTAATCTAGAGAAAATCTTGTGGCTCGGTTTTCACTTTATGCCTGCTGAAATGTTGATATGAAGAAATATTCCATTGACATACAGTATTTAATAACACATCACACCATGTTGTGCAATCATATTGTCATTATTTGCATTCCTACATGTGATTTAAAGCTTTAAGTGACCATTGTAAAATAATGTACTTTCACCTTGCTTTCCTGAAAGTATTAGCCTTTATAATATTATATATTGCTATATTAATCCAAAGCAGTACAAAATTAGCTTGCTCTCTAAAAAATTACAGTATCCCACAGAAGTGAGTACACCCCTCACATTTTTGTAAATATTTTAATATATCTTTTCATGTGACAACACTGAAGAAATGACACTTTGCTACAATGTAAAGTAGTGAGTGTACAGTCTTAATAAGAAAAAGTCATGGAAATAAAGAACACAACGACAGCTTTTTTTGGTCATTTATAAGTCTTTCTGAGATTTGTCTTTTTACAAAATGATGAAAACAAATCCAAACAAAACAAAAAAAAAGAAACACTTCTTCAGAACGCCCGTCACAGCCGTGTGCCTCAAACACACTCTCACCCTCAACACAATACTGTAGTTTTCTTGGCCTTCAGAGCGGAGGGGGTGGTTAAAGATGTCAGTAGAAAGAAAATGAAGCTAAAGTATTAAGACAGAGCAAAGACAGAGACACGGAGGAAAAGGAAACACTGGGGTGTGTACAGTATTGAGTTTCACGCCCATCCTTTCGCATCTTGCAGAGTTTGCCACCAGTCAAGTATCGTGTTCCTGTAAAGCCCGTTCACAGTCTGATCACGAGGGGCAGCAGCTGCTTTGGTGACTGTTGGTAATAACAGTTCATTTAGGCAACCTCAGAGTTCCTTTGCCCAGCAGGAATTGCAAAACTCTGTCCACCAACAGGGCGGCGACAAAATCCAAAACTAGGACCTGGGCTATTATTAACTTAAACTGCAAAGAGAAGGAATGTGAAAACATATTATTAATCAGAAATAGCTACACATGAGAGATCAGCAACAGACGACAAAACTGCAGCACACACTTATAATAAACAGAGTGTCTGTTGGTGTGGACGCTAAAAGGGTGATATAATCAGGGCCACTGCTGGCCAAATGGGTGCCCTAAGCAGGATTGTATTGTTGTGCTCCCTCCCCCAAATATTATGGAAGCAAAAAACAAAACAAAATAAACCCAATACTATAGGCGTCAAAATAAAAATTAAAAAAATATATAAAAGTAAAAAATATATATTTTTTTAATTAAACTGTATTATTTACAAATGATAAATCTAGACAGTTACCTATGGCTATGATTTTATTATTAAAGTTGTCTGGTTGATTTTATAGTCTCAAGCGTTCAGAAATCACACAAAAAAAATGATGCAGTTTTTCGATAAAACCATGGCAAATTTTTTTAAGGGTTGTGATGTCCACATGTTTTTTGTTGAAGAAATTATAGAGGCTGTCTCATCTATATATAGCAAAAAGGTGGCCAATAATTAAAGACTAAGTGGATATTTGAATTAAATGTTTAGTCAAAAGCCTATTAAACAAGGATTTGATCGTCCTGTAAGTATATCAACTGCAGTCATTACCAGGCCTTTGGCTCCCTTTGCAGGCATTTGTAATAATAATGTACATAAATTGTTTATTTTGTATTACATTATGTATTTTAACAGTTTTATTCTATGAAACCATATAATTATTAATTAGCCCATCATTATTGCCTCATCGTTTTTATATAATGCATTGTAAAACTTACAAAAATTTTCTTTTCTTTTGCATGATTTCTAAATGCTTGAGACTATAAAATCAATCAGACAACTGTATTGCTCCCTTTGCAGGCATTTGTAATAATAATGTACATAAATTTTTTTATTTTGTATTACATTATGTATTTTTAACAGTGTCATTCAATGAAACCATATGATTATTAATTAGCCAATCATTATTGCCTCATCGTTTTTATACAATGCATTGTAAGCACTGATCTATATATATATATATATATATATATATATATATATATATAATGTTCTCTATTATAGATCAGTGATTGTAAGTAATTTTAAAGGCTGTTGTTGGCTTAGGTCTGTTTTTATAAGCACAAAAATATTATCTTAATACCTCTTTGTAAATTATTATTTGAAGTAACAAAACCATGGTTAATTTTTGGTTTTATTCATAGTAAAACCATGGCTAATTTTCATAAGGGAACATGGAAACTCAAGAGAGAATATTAGATGCTTTGGTGAAATTATTACCGACATTAAAACATGTTATTAACGTCAACAGCCAAAAAAGTTTCACAGGATTATCAATGTACCTGAAATTGATGCACAGGCTTCGTTTTAATCTTTTTGTTTCTTTCTTTGATCATTTGCATTCAGCTGGAAACATGAAGGTGGGCAGGAATGGTTTTTAAAAAAAAATTTAGCAACTGGGATGGTGCCCCCCCCCCCCCCCGGGGGGGGGGGCCCTTCAAAAACCCC